TGGCACCTGAGCTAACATCTGCTGCCAATCTTCTTTTTCTTCTTCTCCCCAAAGACCCAAAGTACATAGTTATGTATTCTAGTTGTGAGTGCCTCTGGTTGTGCTGTGGGACACTGCCTCAGCATGGCCTGACAAGCGGTGCCATGTCCACACCCAGGATCCAAACCTTGAAACCCTGGGCTGCCAAAGCAGAGCATGTAAACTTAACCCCTTGGCCATGGGGTCTGCCCCTCTTCCTCTTTTTATAAGGATACCAACCCTATAGGATTAGTGCCCCACCCTATGACCTCATTTAACCTTAATTACTTCCCTATCTCCAAACACAGTCATATGGGAGTTAAGGCTTTAACATATGAATTTCAAGGGGGACACCATTCAGTCCATAATACATGGATATATCAAATTTTGTTTATCCATTCATCAATTGATGGACATTTAGGTTGGTTCCACTTTTTGACTGTTATGAATAATGCTGCTGTGAACATTCTGCACAGGCTTTTGTGTAGATATATGTTTTCAGTTCTCTTGGTTATAGACCTTTGAGTGGAATTGCCAGGTCACATGGTAATTTTATGTTTAACTTTTTGAGGAACAGCCAAACTGTTTCCACAGTGGCTGTACCACTTCACATTCTCACCAGCAATGTATGAGGGTTCCAATTTCTCCACATCCTCACCAACATGTTATTGTCCTTTTTTTTTTTTTTTTTAATATAGCCATCTAGTGGGTATGAAATGGTACCTCATTGTGGTTTTGGTTTTGATTTGCATTTCCCTAATGAATAATTATGGTGAACATCTTTTTTTTTTTTAAAGATTTTATTTTTTCCTTTTTCTCCCCAAAGCCCCCTGGTACATAGTTGTATATTCTTCATTGTGGGTCCTTCTAGTTGTGGCACGTGGGATGCTGCCTCAGCATGGTTTGATGAGCAGTGCCATGTCCACGCCCAGGATTCGAACTGATGAAACACTGGGCCACCTGCAGCGGAGCGCACGAACTTAACCACTCGGCCACGGGGCCAGCCCCGATGCTGAACATCTTTAATGTGCTTATTAGCCATTTGTATATCTTCTTTGGAGAAATGTCTATTCAAGTTGTTTGCTCATTTTTTAATTGGGTTGTTTGTCCTTTTGTTGTTGAGTGTAATTCTTTATATATTGTGGATACTAGATTCTTATCCACATGATTTGCACATATTTTCTCTCATTTTGTAGGTTGTCTTTTCACTTTCTTGATAATGTCCTTTGATACGCAAAGTTGTTTATTTTGATTAAGTACAAGTTATCTACTTTTTCTTTTGTTGTTTGCCGTCTTGGTGTCATATCTAAGAATCTACTGCCAAGTCAAGCTCATGAAGATTTACTCCTATGTTTTCTTCTAAGAGTTTTATAGTTTTAGCTCTTAAATGTGTGTCTTTGATCATTTTGAGTTGATATTTTGTATATGGTGTGAAGTAAGGGTCCAACTTAATTCTTTTCCATGCAGTTATCCAGTTGTTCCAGCATCATTTTTGAAGGGACTATTCTTCCCTCATTGAATGGTCTTGGCATCCTTGTTGAAAATCAATTGGCCATAGATATGTGGGTTTATTTCTGGACTTTTGATACTATTTCATTGATCTATATGTCTGTCCTTATGCCAGTTCCACACTGTTTTGATTACTATAGCTCTGTATTAAGTTTTAAAATCAGGAAGAGTGAATCCTCCAACTTCATTCTTTTTCAATATTGTTTTATATATTCAGGGTACCTTGCATTTCCATAAGAATTTCAGGATCAGCTTGTTCATTTCTGCAAAAAGGCAGTTGGAATTTTGATAAGGAATGCACTCAACCTGTAGATCTACTTGGGGAGTATTGCCATCCTAACACTATTAAGTCTTCCAATCCATAAACACAAGATGTCTTTCCATTTCTTTAGGTCTTCTCTAATTTCTTTCCATAACGTTTTGTAGTTTTCAGTGTACGAGTCTTGCACTTCCTTGGTTAAGTTTATTCCTAAGTATTTTATTCTTTTTGATGCTATTTGCAATACTGTGATTTATAATAAATATATATTTGGTCATTCAGATAATCAAGATATATTTCTTATATACAGGCATACCTCATTTTACTGTGCTTTGCTTTATTGCACTTCACAGATACTGCATTTTTTACAGGACCCTCCACCAGCAAAAATATTACAACTTGCCATAGGCTCAGATGATGGTTAGCATGTTTTAGCAATAAGGTGTTTTTCAATTAAGGTAGGTACATTTTTTTTTAGACAATGCTATTGCACACTTAATAGACTACAGTCTAGTATAAACATACTTTTATATGCACTGGGAAATCAAAAACCTCGTGTGACTTGCTTTATTGTGATATTCGCTTTATTGTAGTGGTCTAGAACTGAACCTGCAATAACTCCAAGGTATGCCTGTATGTTTGGTCTTTGTCCACAGTTCCTGGTTCACAGCTCCCAAAACTCTTGGAATTTCCCAAGTGTTGAGAGTAATAAAGGCATCTTTCATTATGTCAATGAGGTGATTTTTGGAAAATACCTAAGGTTAGAGGGTTGGAACTTTCAGTCCCACCTGCTGACCTCCAGGGAGGGGAAAGGGCTGGAGATGGAGTTCAATCATCAGTGGCCAATGATTTAATCAATCATATCTATGTAATGAAGCCTCCATAAAAACCCAAAAAGACAGAGTTCAGAGAGCTTCTGGGTTGGTGAACATGTGGAGACTGGGGAGAGTAACATGCCCTGTCTTGATACCTCACCCTACGCAACTCTTTCATTTGGCTATTCCTGAGTTATATCTTTTTACAATAGTAATCTATAAGTAATATGTTTCTCTGAGTTCTGTGACCCACTGTAGCAAATTAATCAAACCCAAGGAGGGGGTTGTGGGAACCTCTAATTTACAGCCAGTTGATCAGAAGTACAGGTACCTGGACTTGCAACTGGTGTCTGAAGTCAAGGAGGAAGTCATGGGGACCGTCAATCTGTAGCTGGTGTGTCAGAAGCACAGGTAATAACCTGGGCTTGTGACTGGTATCTGAAGGGGTGGGGGACTTAGAGGACTTCAGTCTTATAAGACTGAACTCTTAATCTGTGAAATCTGATGCTATCTTCAGGTAGTCTCAGAATTGAGTTGAATTGCAGGACACTAAGCTGGTGTCCCAAGAATTGCTTGTTGGTGTGGGGAACTCTCTCCCCACATGTTGGAATTAGGCTTCAGAACACCCCAAAGACTATTATAAATGAATTTTCTTAATTTCATTTTTGATTATTCAGTGACATAGGCTGGAAGAATTTTGACAAGCATGATAGAGAAGGCATAAATTGCCTTGAACAGACATAGTGGAGATATGATTTGGAGGACGCTGTAGGGGAGGGCTCAGAAGGAAACGATGAACATGCTATTAGAAAGTGGAAGAAGAGAGATGCTTGTTATTTAGTGGCAGAAAGCTTACTGAAATGGTCTCTTGTGGTCATGTGGAAAGCAGAACTTTTAAGTGATGATCTTGGTTATGTAGCTAAGGAGATTTCCAAAGTTTTGAAGGTGAGGCCTGATTTTTTTCTTGCTGCTTATAGAAAGACAAGAGATGAGAGATTAATTGAGGGAAAAACTATTAAACATAAAGTAACCAGGACTTAATTTTGAAAATTCTTAGTCTCTCTAGATGGCAAAAGATTTTAATTGAAAGAAGGCTGTCAGACCCCCCAAATTCTACTGGCAGGAAGCAGCCTGATAAAACTACTTAGCTGCAAACATGTGCTACCTTTCATGACAAAGGATGACTTAGAGGGCGAGACCAAGAGCCCAAAGGGTGGAGCAGAGAGTTGAGAGGATTACTTCCAGGCCTGAAACTTAATGAAGGAACTCCCAATATTTTCCCAGCTGGATTTCAGAATTACTATGGACCCTTTTTGACCTTCCATTTGCCCTCCTTTTTAACTGTAATGTCTGTAACTGTTATCCTTTCCCTGGCCCCCTATCGTATATTGGGTATGTTGGGGTCAGATAACTTGTCTCTAGGAGTGGAATGGCTGGATTATATAGTTAGATGTTTATATACCTGTGTATGTAAGCTTTAGTTTCACAGGTCTATAAAAAGAAAGGAATTATGCCCCAGTAAATTTTCTTGTTTTTTTTTTTAAAGATTTTATTTTTCCTTTTTCTCCCCAAAGTCCCCCTGGTACATAGCTGTGCATTTTTAGTTGTGGGTCCTTCTAGTTGTGGCACGTGGGACGCCGCCTCAGTGTGGCTTGATGGGCGGTGCCATGTCCACGCCCAGGATTCAAACCGGCAAAACCCTGGGCCGCCAAAGCAGAGCGTGCGAACTTAACCACTATGCCACGGGGCCGGCCCCGCCCCAGTAAATTTTCTTAATGTATTATATCCAGGAACTTCCGGCAATAAAAAGGAATAAACTCTTGACACACAATAACATGGATCAATCTCAAAATGATCATGCTAAGTGAAAGAAACTGACAAAAGAAGAGTAAATACCATATGATTCCATTTATATGAAACTCTACGAAATAAAAACTGATCTATAACGACAAAAAGAAGATTAGTTGTCACTTTGGGATTGTGGGTTGGGGAAAGGCAGGAGGGAGGGATTACAAAGGTCATGAATTTTTGGCGGTGATTGTTTACTATATTGACTGTTTCATGGTTTCATGGGTGTATACATAGGTCAACTTGTCAGATTGTACACTTTATATCAACCATTCTTCAATAAAGCAGTTTAAAAATGTATTTGCCACTCGTACATGTCTTTTTCTCACAAATAATTATATTCAAAGAGAAAGCACAATCTCTATTTATCATAGACTAGGCCTTATTACTCATCCACTCATTCTCAAATATTTTCTAAATATCTGTTAGTTTCTGTGGGAAATACAAATATGAATCTTTTGCACTAATGAAGCATATAATCTAAGACACTGGTTATGGTTTGGAAATCATAAACAATTATTTTTTTATATTGTTTTCAAAAAGATCCTTACCAGAAGCAAATCCCTCCCAGTGACTACGCGTCAACTGCTCCATACAACTCAGAACCTTGCTCCACACATCGTCAAACACATAAGCAAGGACATCTTCTTTCATGCAGTAAAATGGAGCAATGGGAGGGTACCCTAATTTCTGTTTCTCTGTAGCTGCTTCTGATTTCTTTCCATGAAGCTCCTCTTCCCTGTAAGAGAAGTAAGAGGGAAAGACTTCATGGTTATTTTTCACAGAGTGTTCACCACAGGCCTTTGTACTTCTTAGGAATGTGATTTATGCCCCCTACACTACCCTTTGCCAGGTATATGTAGCACATTTATTAAGTTGCCTGCATTTCCCTTTTTACCCCCTTCCCACCCTACCACTCTGCCAAAAAATAGAACCAAAAAAAGAAGACTGAAAATCACTGTACATTTTTTAGCTTTAAACAGATGAGTACTGTCAATTGAACAACAAACTATGACAAGCATACAGAAATACTCTTTTTGTTGTAACTGGATAACATTTAGATTAATATTAATGTGACACATGTAACTGTGATATGCCGCATAATTTTTTTAAATGTTTTTAGGAAGATTAGCCAAGCTAACATCTGCTGCCAATCCTCCTCTTTTTGCTGAGGAAGGCTGGCCCTGAGCTAACATCCATGCCCATCTTCCTCTACTTTATATGTGGAACGCCTGCCACAGCATGGCTTGCCAAGCAGTGCCATGTCCGCTCCCAGGATCCGAACTGGTGAACCCCAGGTCGCTGAAGCAGCACGTGCAAACTTAACTGCTGCGCCACCAGGCTGGTCCCTATGCCACATAATTATTTGAGGTAATGATTCATTAGAGAAGTAGTCCCCATACATTATTGAAATTAGTATAGTTTTACTAATCCAAGTAAACATTTGGTAATTGGCTGGAAAGGAAAAGGAGGGGAGCCCGACAGCACAGAAAGATACTCTGAAGCTCTTCTGGAGATGTGTATCTATAAGCCAGAAACTCCCAGTTAGCCAAGTCTTTCTCTTCTCTCGCAGGGAGTGCCAATAGCCCCAGAATTCTGGGGAAAAAAATCTAGCTCATGGATGTGCTTACCTATGACTAATGTATTAGAAACTAAGACAAAGCAAATTCTGGAACTGGCTAGGGGTAGGGAAAAATATCTCCCAGGCTCTACAGTGAAAATTACCCCTAGGGCAGCACAGGTCTCCAAAATTAAATAGAAAATAGGCAGGAAAGGAGGATGCTAAGAGGTTTATGCAGGGCAGCCAAAGATTCTCTTTGCTTCTCTTTTCCCAAGGAAGAGCTAGCCTGGCATTAAGTGGGGGAGGAGGCTGATTAGTATTAATTGTATTTCACTTTATATTTCTTTTTAGAGAAGATAACACATTCATAAGACAAAAAAAATTCAAATTGTACAGAAGGAAATGTATGTATGTAGTGAAAAATAAGTCCCCTACATCTCTATCCTCCAGTCGCTATTCCCAGAAGCAAACATTATACACTGGTCCAGAGAAATAGTTACATTATACACTATATTACACCTTGCTCTTTCATTTAACAATATATCTTGGCCTTTGATCCTGATCAATACTTATAAATCTCCCTCTTTTAAAAAACAGCTGCAGAGTATTCCATTGGATATACCATAATACGTCTAACTAAACAGTTATTGATCAACCAACCCTTTGCTCTTACAGTCAATACTGCAATTAATATCCTTGTATGTAGTTCTTTGGCAACATGTGTATTATATCTGCAGGATAAATTCCTATAAACAGAATTTTTTTTTTTAAAGATTGGCACCTGAGGTAACATCTGTTGCCAATCTTTTTTTTTTTCCCCTGCTTCTTCTCCCCAAAGCCCCCCAGTACATAGTTGTATATTCTAGTTGTGATGCCTCTGGTTGTGCTATGTGGGACGCCGCCTCAGCATGGCCTAATGAGTGGTATCACGTCCACGCCCAGGATCTGAACCAATGAAACCCTGGGCCACCAAAGCAGAGTGCGCAAACTTAACCACTGGGCCGGGACCAGCCCCCTAGAAATAGAATTGTTGAGTCAAGGGGTATATGCATGTCAATTTGAAAGATATTGCCCACTTTCCACTAAAGAGGTGATATAATTCTTCGGTGGTGAAAGAATATGCCTATTTTCCCATTCAAAAAATTATCAAACTTCTTTATCTTTTGTTCTCTGCCAGGTCTGACAGAAAAAATAGTGTATCATTACAGTTTTAATTTGCATATATAATTGTGAATGAGATTGAATCTCATTTCATATATTTAAAATTCATTTTCTTTTTATATGAACTATTTATGTTCTTTGCTTGTTTCGTCCTTAGTCTTTTCCTTATTGATGTACATATTAAGGAAATAAAATCTTTGTGTATGTATGAACTGCAAGTATTTTTGCCACTTTATTTGTCTTTTGACTTTATGATTTTTTTCTATGCAGAAATTTCATTTTACGTAGTCATTTTTAAGAATTTCTTAAATGACACAAATTTCATGCTATGATTAGGAAGGATTTCCCGATTCTCAAATTATTTTTTAAAAAACAATCTTTCATATTTTTTTCTTTTTTTAAAATTTTTTTTATTGAGTTAATGATAGGTTACAATCTTGTGAAATTTCAGTTGTACGTTAATGTTTGTCAGTCGTGTTGTAGGTGCACCCCTTCACCCTTTGTGCCCACCCCTCACCCCACCTTTCCCCTGGTATCCACTAAACTGGTCTTAGTCCATAATCTTAAATTCCTCATATGAGTGGAGTCATACAGAGATTATCCTTCTCTCGCTGGCTTATTTCACTTAACATAATTCCCTGAAGGTCCATCCATGTTATTGCAAATGGAATGATTTTGTTCTGTTTTGCAGCTGAGTAGTATTCCATTGTATATATGTACCACTTCTTCTTTATCCATTCGTCTGTTGATGGGCACTTAGATTGCTTCCATGTCTTGGCTATTGTAAATAATGCTGCAATGAACATTGGGGTGCATAGGACTTTCGGGATTGCTGACTTCAAGCTCTTTGGATAAACACCCAGTAGTGGGGTGGCTGGATCGTATGGTAGTTCTATTTTTAATTTTTTGAGGAATCTCCATACTGTTTTCCATAATGGCTGCACCAGTTTGCATTCCTACCAGCAGTGTGTGAGAGTTCCTTTTTCTCCACAACCTCTCCAACATTTGTTACTATTTGTTCTAGTTATTTTTGTCATTCTAATGGGTGTAAGGTGATATCTTAGTGTAGTTTTGATTTGCATTTCCCTGATGATCAGCGATGATGAGCATCTTTTCATGTGCCTATTGGCCATCCGTATATCTTCTTTGGAGAAATGTCTGTTCGTGTCTCCAGCCCATTTTTTGATTGGGTTGTTTGATTTTTTGTTTTGAGTTGTGCGAGTTCTTTATATATTATGGATATTAAGCCTTTGTCACATACATGACTTGCAAATATTTTTTCCAACTTAGTGGGTTGTTTTTTTGTTTCAATCCTGTTTTCCTTTGCCTTGAAGAAGCTCTTTAGTCTGAGGAAGTCCCATTTGTTTATTCTTTCTATTGTTTCCCTTCTCTGAGAAGGCATGGTGTCTGAAAAGATCCTTTTAATACTGATGTCAAAGAGTGTACTGCCTATGTTCTCTTCTAGAAGCCTTATGGTTTCAGGTCTCAGCTTTAGGACTTTGATCCATTTTGAGTTTATTTTGGTGAATGGTGAAAAAGAATGGTCAATTTTCATTCTTTTACATGTGGCTTTCCAGTTTTCCCAGCACCATTTATTGAAAAGATTTTCTTTTCTCCATTGTATGCCCTCAGCTCCTTTGTCGAAGATTAGCTGTCCACAGATGTGTGGTTTTATTTCTGGGCTTTCAATTCTGTTCCATTGATCTGTGCACCTGTTTTTGTACCAGTACCATGCTGTTTTGATTACTGTGGCTTTGTAGTATGTTTTGAAGTCAGGGATTGTGATGCCTCCAGCTGTGTTCTTTTTTCTCAGGATTGCTTTAGCAATTCGGGGTCTTTTATTGCCCCATATGAATTTTAGGATTCTTTATTCTAATTCCGTAAAGAATGTCATTGGGATTCTGATTGGGATGGCGTTGAATCTGTAGACTGCTTTAGGTAGAACGGACATTTTAACTATGTTTATTCTTCCAATCCATGTACATGGAATGTCTTTCCATCTCCTTATGTCGTCATCCAATTCTTTCAGAAAGGCCTTGTAATTTTCATTATATAGGTCCTTCACTTCCTTAGTGAAATTTACCCCAAGGTATTTTATTCTTTTTGTTGCGATTGTGAATGGTATTGTGTTCTTGAGTTCTTTTTCTGTTAGTTCATTATTGGAGTATAGAAATGCTACTGATTTATGCAAATTGATTTTGTACCCTGCAACTTTGCTGTAGTTGTTGATTACTTCTAAGAGTTTTCCAATGGATTCTTTGGGGTTTTGTGAATGGTATTGTGTTCTTGAGTTCTTTTTCTGTTAGTTCATTATTGGAGTATAGAAATGCTACTGATTTATGCAAATTGATTTTGTACCCTGCAACTTTGCTGTAGTTGTTGATTACTTCTAAGAGTTTTCCAATGGATTCTTTGGGGTTTTCTGTATATAAGATCATGTTGTCTGCAAACAGCGAGAGTTTCACTTCTTCCCTCCCTATTTGGATTCCTTTTATTCCTTTTTCTTGCCTGATTGCTCTGGCCAGGACCTCCAGTACTTTGTTAAATAAGAGTGGTGATAGAGGGCATCTGTCTCGTTCCTGTTTTCAGGGGGATGGCATTCAGTTTTTGCCCATTGAGTATGATGCTGGCTATGGGTTTGTTTATATGGCCTTTATTATGTTGAGGTAGTTTCCTTCTATGCCCATTTTGTTCAGAGTTTTTATCATAAATGGCTGTTGGATCTTGTCAAATGCCTTCTCTGCATCTATTTAGATGATCATGTGGTTTTTATTCCTCAGTTTGTTGATGTGGTGTATCACGTTGATTGATTTGTGGATGTTGAACCATCCCTGTGTCCCTGGTATGAATCCCACCTGATCATGATGTATGATTCTTTTGATGAATTGCTGAATTCGGGTTGCCAAAATTTTGTTTAGAATTTTTGCATTTATGTTCATCAGTGATATTGGCCTGTAGTTCTCTTTTTTCCTGGTGTCCTTGTCAGGTTTTGGTATCAGCGTGATGTTGGCCTCATAGAATGTGTTTGGAAGTGTTACATCTTCCCTAATCTTTTGGAATAGCTTGCAAAGGATAGGTATTAAATCCTCTCTGAAAGTTTGGTAGAATTCCCCAGGAAAGCCCTCTGGTCCTGAGGTTTTATTCTTTAGGATGTTTTTGATTGCTGTTTCAATCTCTTTCCTTGTGATTGGTCTGTTCAAATTGTCTGCCTCTTCTCGAGTGAGCTTTGGGAGATTGTAGGAGTCCAAGAATTTATCCATTTCCTCTAGGTTATCCATTCTGTTGGCATATAGTTTTTCGTAGTATTCTCTTATAATCCATTGTATTTCTGCAGAGTCTGTTGTTCTTTCTCCTTTTTCATTTCTGATTTTGTTTATTTGAGCTTTCTCCCTTTTTTTCTTTGTAAGTCTGGCTAGGGGTTTGTCAATTTTGTTTATCTTCTCAAAAAACTAGCTCTGTGTTTCATTGATCCTTTCTACTGCCTTTTTTGTTTCAATAGCATTTATTTCTGCTCTGCTTTTTATTATTTCTCTCCTTCTGCTGACTTTGGGCTTTATTTGTTCTTTTTTCTCTACTTCAGTTAGGTGTACTTTAAGGTTGCTTATTTGGGATTTTTCTTGTTTGTTAAGATGTGCCTGTATTGCGTTGAATTTTCCTCTTAATACAGCTTTTGCTGTATCCCATATGAGTTGGTATGGCATGCTATGATTTTCATTTCTTCCCAGGTATTTTTTGATTCTTCTTTAATTTCTTCAATGATCCATTGCTTGTTCAGTAGTGTGTTGTTTAGTCTCCACATCTTTGTGCCTTTCTTAGCTTTTTTCTTGTAATTAATTTCTAGCCTTGTAGCACTATGATTGGAGGAGATGCTCGTTACTATTTCAATTTTTTTAAATTTGTAGAGGCTTGCCTTGTTTCCCAACATATGGTCTATCCTTGAGAATGTTCCATGTGGACTTCAGAAGAATGTGTATTCAGCTCTTTTAGGGTGAAGTCATCTATATATGTCTATTAAGTCCAATTTTTGTAGTTTTTCGTTTAGCTCCACTATTTCCTTGTTGATTTTCTGTCTGGATGATCTGTCCATTGATGTGAGTGGGGTGTTGGGGTTCCCTACTATTATTGTGTTACTTTTAACATCTTCCTTTAGGTCTGTTAATAGTTGCCTTATGAATCTTGGTGCTCCTGTGTTGGGTGCATAGATATTTATGAGCTTTATTTCTTCTTGATGAAGTGTCCCTTTGATCATTATCTATTGTCCCTCTGTGTCTCTCTTTCCCTGTCTTATTTTGAAATCCACTTGGTCTGATATAAGAATTGCAACACCTGCCCTTTTTTCCTTGCTATTAGCTTGAAGTATTGTCCTCCACCCCTTCACCCTGAGCCTGTGTTTGTCCTTGGGGCTGAGGTGTGTTCCTTGGAGTCAACAAATTGTTGGATCTTGTTCTTTAATCCATTTTGCCACTCTGTGTCTTTTTATTGGAGAGTTTAATCCGTTTACATTGAGAGTGATTATTGATGCATGTGGACTTAATGCTGTCAATCTGTTGCTCATTATCTTGTTTTCCTGCATTTCTTTTCCTGTGTGCTTTAGTCTACCCATTTAATACTGCAATTTTTTATGCTGGGTTTCTTAGATTTTTCCTTATTTATGACTTGTGACTCTGTTCTGTATTTTATTTTAGTGTCTATCCTGAAGTTTGTATTTAGAATCTCGTGTATAATATAGTCTATTCTCTGGTGGTCTCTTACTTACTTGACCAATACTGATTTAGACCCTTTGCTCTTCCCCTCCTAAATAATTATTTTCATTTCTTATTCCAACTCATGTTATGAATTTGTAGTTAGAGTGATAAGATCGTCCTTGCTTTGGTAGTTTCCTTACCTTTACCGTAATGCTATAGTTGAATATTTGCTATCCTGTTCTGGTTCTATCCATCGGTCTCCCTAGTCTGTGGATTGTGACCCTTTTCTCCCTTTTTTCTTTTTTCAGGTATGAGAGCCTTCTTGAGGATTTCTTGTAGTGGAGGGCTTTTGGTTACAAATTCCCTTAACTTTTGTTTGTCTGGAAAAGATTTAATTTCTCCCTCATATCTGAAGGAAATTCTTGCCAGATAGAGTATTCTTGGCTGAAGATTTTTATCTTTTAAAGCTTTGAATATATCACTCCATTCTATCCTAGCTTGTAAGGTTTCTGTAGAGAAATCCGCGGACAGTCTGACAGGCGCTCCTTTATAGGTTATTCTCTTTTTTTCTTACTTCCCTGAGTATTCTTTCCTTATCTTTCCTTCTTGCCAATTTTACTACTGTGTGCCTTGCACTATGTCTTTTTACATTGACAAATCTAGGAGATCTGAAAGCTTCCTCTACACACATTTCTCCGTCAATCCCTAGATTTGGGAAGTTCTCTTCAATAATTTCGTTAAGCACACTTTCTGCTCCATTTTCCTTTTCCACATTCTCGGGAATTCCTATGATCCTTATGTTCTTACTCCTCATTGAATCCACTATGTCTCGGAGATTTTCCTCGTTTTTTTTTAATTCTTAGTTCTCTTTCTTCCTCTGGAGCCATTCAGCCTGTCTATCTTCAATTATGTTAATTTGCTCTTCTATGGAGTCTACACGGCCATTCAGGGAATCCATATTCTGTTTTATCTGGTCCATTGTGTTTTTCATCTCTAGTAATTCTGTTTGATTCTTCTTTATGATTTCAATCTCTTTTGTGAAGTAACTCCAGAACTCGGCTTGTTTCTCTATCTTTCTCTCTACCTCATTGAGTTTTTTTATTATAGCTGCTCTGAACTCATTATCACTTAGTTTACCTAATTCCAAGTCCTCAGGACTTAATTCTATGTTTTTATTGTTTTCCTTCTGGTCTGGGGCTTTTATAAACTGCTGGATGGTAGAGGAGCGGTTTTTTCACATGGTGGTAGAATTTGGTTGCAGTTACAGCCTGTCGCCACTAGATGGGGGTCGAGAGCTGCGTGTTATGAGCTCTCCGCCTTCGGGCAAGATGGCTGCGCCCAGTGGCTTTGCCGGGAGGGAGGGGCTGCTATTCTCGCAAGCCGATCTGGATTCAGATCAATTCTGTTCTCTGGTCTCCCGAGGCCCTGGGTTTATGGGGTCCATGTGGACAGAAGCTTTCCGCCCGTCACCGGGTTTCCACTGAACCAGCAGCAGGAGTCCTGGATGATCCCCTGGTCGCACGGCTCCTCCCCGGCTCCTTCCTGACCCGCGCCGCAGCAATCGCAGACTCTAGGGCAGGGAGCAATGTTCTCTCCTACCGTTCCAGCGCCTCCAAGGCTGTAAGCAAGGTTTATGATCTCTGCCTTCTTGGTATTGTAGGTCTCTAACGTGTTGGCATTAGATTTATTCTCTGAAATTCAGTTTTTCCAATCCTTTCTTGTATTTTGGAGGGGAGAGAATCCCGGGTCAGCTCACCCTGCCATTCTGCTCCGCCTCATTGTTCCTCAGGCGCCAATCATTTCTAGGGCTCCTGGGTCCCCTGAGTCCTTCCTACGAGCCACAGGACAGGCACAGTTAAAAGCCTGACAGAAGCCGCAGCACACCCACCAGAGAGCAGCGAAGCACACGGCACCATATTTTTTCTTCTAAACTTATATATCATGTGTTACATTTAAATTTTCTATATGTGTAAAATTTATTTTATGTAAAAAATAAGTTAAGACCTTTATTTTTTCCCAGATGGTTTGTTTTTCTATGTTGCACCAAAATCATTTGCTGAAATTATTGTACATACTCATTTCATGTAAACATAGTTCACACCTCTTCAACTGCTCTTTTAAAAAGTTTCAGAGTTTCCAAGAGTCACTGGTGATAATTTACAGAGGGTAAAATCAAAATATGTGGAGAAAAAAAATTAACTTATTTAAAAATGTTTAACCTCAGGTAGAAGCAAATGACATGTGGAAGAAGAAAATACACAAGGAAGTCTGGTATGTGGAAGCAACAGGAATTTATATCAACTAAGCACATGAACTCTGGAGACCTGAGAACTAATTAGAAAATAACAGAAATTGATATAAATCTAATTATAAGTAATACTGGTAGTATACTTTAGAAAAAAATAGATATTAATACACAAAATAGGAGGGGAGTAAAAAGCTTAAAAGACATAATACTTACATATCTGTGTGGTCGAATGCTAAGTATTCCTCTATTATTCCTTCAGAGAAGATTACACAGTCTCTCTCTTCTCTTTCCATAGAACACAAGCTAGGTGATTTGGCAATGGAAGATGCTTTATGAGCATAAGAAGATGAAAGATGTAACTTCTTTCCCCTAATACCAAATCTGGGAGAGGAAAAACAGTATTCATTAGGTACAACATAAACAGTTCTCACAGCAACTCAGTCACACGAGTTTCGACTCAAAGTCCCTTGCCGTGGTGACACCTTCCTGGCCTACTCTAAGCCTTAATACCTATTATTTCTCAGAACAGGAAGAATAAATACTAGCCTTAGACCTACTCTGCTTAGGTGTATCATGCAGTATCAAATACTGCTTTCTATCTTTTCAGATGCAACAGCTATGGCTATAAAATAAGTTCTTAAAAAAATCTATGAATTTTCATAATTATATCTTTAAGGTACCTCAGGAGGTTATATGCTTATTTCAATAACTCCATCATTATTCAAAATGCTCCTTAAGGGCAAGGATCTTCTCTATTTATATTTAAATTTCTCTTCCTACTCAGGTATTCAATGAATATGTGATGACTCATTCATTCAGCAGGTTTACCGTGGAGAAAGTCAGTCAAATTTGAGCATTTTTTATTTTGAGGAAGATTAGCCCTGAGCTAACGTCTGCTGCCACTCTTCCTCTTTTTGCTGAGGAAGACTGGCCCTGAGCTAACATCCGTGCCCATCTTCCTCCACTTTATATGTGGGACACCTACCACAGCATGGCTTGCCAAGCAGCGCCATGTCTGCACCCAGGATACCAACTGGCGAACCCCGGGCCGCCGAGAAGCGGAATGTGCAAACTTAACAGCTGTGCCACAAGGCCATCCTGGAGCAATACAATTTTTAAAAATGGCTCTCAGTTTAACCAAATATTAAACACAACCAATATACGCTTTGCGTTATTCTTTATACTTTTTTGTACCTTAAATATTTCTTTTTAATGGGGAAAAAAGAATAAACCTATGGCACTTTTCAGCAAGGCTAGTAGGAAAATCTTACTCATGGACATTTTGGAAATATGTATCAGAAGCCTTAAAATAAACATACCCATTGATTCACTGGTTTCATTTGTAGGAATTTCCTTCAAGGATATGACCTACAAGATTTAGCTATAAAAATTATCATCACAGAATTGTTTATAATTGTCAAAAATCAAAACTAGCCTGTTTCAAAACACAGGATTGGGGATTAGTTGTTTAAATAATGGTATATTCATACAATAGAATACTATAAGATCATTAAATTAATAACGTGAGAGAAAATGGAAGATGCCTACAATAAAAGGGCAAGAGTAAAAAGATTACAAACTATGTATAGTAATTTCATAAAGTTACACAATTAGGTGGTAGAGAATGCTAGATGCCCCCCAGTATCCATGCTCCCCTTCTTTCCTAGTAAATCATGCCAATTTAATTCAGGAGAGCAATACATCAACCTCAAAGACTACATTTCCCACTAACTTGCAGGCAGATATACCCAATGAGATATGAGCAGAATTGTTATGTGGGACTCTGGGAAGGCTGTTTAAAGAGCCTAGGCTATAAGGGGTAGCCTTTTACCATTCTGCCTTTCCTCCTTTCTGCTACCTGGGAAGTGAATGTCATGTTTGGAACTCTATCAGCCATCTTGGACCATGAAGAAAACTTCAGGAAAAACATCCTGGGCTAACATGGTCTAGCAGAAAGAAGAAAGGGTCTAGGACCCAGAAAACACCATACCACCACGACACTATCTTTAGATACCCTTCCTCCAGACTTCTTTTAAAAGAGAAAAAAACCTTCTCTGTTTTGTTAGCCATTAAATAAAGTGTATGGTTTGTAGGAAGTGGTTGGAAAGGTATGATGAGGCCAGATTGTGAAGTACTTTATGTATTAATTTGGGCTAATTGATAGCCATGGAAGGTAATTAAAGTTTTAAAGAAGGGGGATGACAAGATCCTTGCTTTAGAAGATCACTGTGGTAGTGATGAAGAGGATAATGTGGTTAGGAGGCTAGCAAAAAAAATGAAGCAAGAGCTGCTAAGCTGAAAAGAGCCTAGACCATGGCAGAAGGCATGGGGATGGAGAGATGGTAAGAGATGAGAGAAACAGTCTGGAGAACCATCATATCTAAACCAGATGGTATCACTGTTTATAAACGTCTCTAAACTTGAGACTTAAGGTTTTTTAAGTCTCTGTTCTGAAATTCTAAAATAGTGATTCCCAAATTCCAGTCAAAAGATTTTTGCCAATCCATGACAAAATTTTTACTGATCTACATCAAAATGAGCAAAATACAGACAATACCCAGTAAGACTGCCAAATACCTTGCTTAAAAAGGAATGTCCTTATTTTGAAATTATGTACTTCATGCATTTTTGTGTTAATATGTCTTTTCTTTTATAAAATAGTTTTTTATAAAAAAGTTTTTTATCATAACATGACAAAATTTAAAGCTGTCAAACTCATATCAAAACACTTCATTCCCAACATTCCATATATTATTGTGCTATTGTATCATTCCATTTATATTATTAACCAACCATTTTTTAAGTCAGTGGTAACTAATGGAATTATTTACTTTGAGGAAAAAAATATATACTTCCTAACAAAGTATAGGCCTTTCTGTTAGTAAAAAAAATTTCAGTTAGATGAGACAGAAAAATGTTTCCATTTCCCCTAAAGCTGCATCAAAAAACACATAGTATTCTACATCATAAAACTGTCTTTGCAAATGTTAGTTCTAACAAAGGAATTTTCTAAATCATCAGACTTAAGCGATTACCATGTCTGGAAAATAACCCTTATCTCCTAAAATGTTTGTAATTCTTTTTCTTACTAAAATAATAACAGTAGTCTTACCCAATAATGTATTGCCCTGGTAGTAGTATTTAAGTTGAGATCTGTTTTCTTGTGAGAGGAAAAAAATCATTGGCACTTTATTCTTCTCCCACATGCCTGGAGGATAGAATAACTTTGCTAGGTTCCTTATTTAAAAAAAATTGGAGCCAGCCCATCCAGATGCAGGCCTTAGGAGGTGGAATTCTGCAGCCTTCTTGGAGGTGATCACTGCAAGGCCCTCATGGGTGGTTGCAAGAAACAAGTGGCCAAGAGCTCTCCTTCCTGACTAGGATCTGAAAAGTACAATTAACCACTCTCAACTCCATTTCAGAGCAACCTTATCTCCCAGTGGACCTCTAGAAATGACCTCTGGAAATTACAAGAAGTTGTGATTTCATGATGCCAAAAGGAAGAAAACATAACTTAGTACACTGGAAAGGAAATATAATTGTGGCTGGTCCTTCCAGTAGAAGAAGTGAAAGAGTATCTCCATAGCTTTGGAGAGCTTCTGAAAGATCTTTTTATTAATTGGCTGATTTCTTTATTTATTTACTTTTTGGAGAGGAGATTGGTCCTGAGCTAACATCTGTTGCCAGTCTTCCTCTTTTTTTTCCCTCCCCAAAGCCCCAGTACATAGATGCATATCCTAGTTGTAGGTCATTTTACTTCCTGTATGTGGGATGCCACCATAGCATGGCTTGATGAGTGGTGCAAAGGTGTGCACCCAGGATCCAAACCGGTGAACCACATGCACGAAAGCAGAGCACACAGACTTAACCACTCAGCCACAGGGCTGGCCCCTGGAAGATCTTCATGTCTAAAAAAAATCTGATTTGTGATTAGCTTGACTGGTTCTTGCATTTAAGACAGTTATTTAAAAAAAAAAAATCAAAGAAAATGAAAGCAAAAGCTATAATTTTAATGAGTGACATGAGGGAGGTGGGCTTAGGACAAATAGCAGCCATATCATATCACTTTAATGATTTTTTTAAATTGTGGTAAAAAATATACATTAGTTCATTTCATGTAGTTTATCATATAAATATGATGTTTTAATTTAGTAAAAAAAAAAAAAAGTAGAATGCTAACCATGTTCTAGGCACTGTGCTAGGGATTAGAGATACAAAGAGGAAGACACAGTATTTTTGTTTTGTTTATTGTACCACTTTCCTCTGGCTCAAGAACTCCTCAAGAATGGAAACTGGACCAAATGCCTTGTTTAATACATTTGAGATCAGAAAGAAAGCCAGTGGGAGGATTAGTGAATGAGAGAGAGAGAATGACAGAAGATAAAGACAGAGATGTAGGCTGGGGCCAGCTTATGATATAATTTTAGATTTTAAGCTTAAATTCAGTGGAAGCTATTGATGATTTTTAAGTGGGAGACAGAAAGGATCAACCTTGAATTTTAAAAGGAAAATCTGACATAATGTGGAGAGGCAAGAATGGATATAATTTGAAATGTTATTTTTGTAGAAAGTCTCTGTAGTTGACAAACCTCATATTTTATGGCAAACTGATTTGTTAAACTGAAACAAGTCAAAATGAATTCATGACACATTTTTCCATACCTCTTACTACCAAAAGTGGCAAAATAGCAGCAGCAGCACTAACTTACATACCTTCACTACCCAAATTTTGTTCTCAAATACTATTAACCGCTCAAAGTAATTAGGTCTTCTTGAATTTCAGCTGATTCAATGTCTTAAAGGAAGAAAAAATTGAGGATGGGAGTGGAACATCCTACTGTAACCAGAAAGCAAAGATACAGTCAAGACAAAAACAAAGGAACCAGCTGGACATGGCCAAGTTTTAACAATTTGAGCATTGATAATAATTACGGTTAATTAAAATATGTTAATATTTTGAAATGCTATGAGTTCATAATGGTACTCAAGAGCGAAAATATCAAGTGTAGACAAAGTAGTAGTTACATGAAAGAAAATATCATGGATTACGTTTAATTTATTATTGCTTTTCAGAATTAGTGGTATGCTAATAGGGCTGGATAATTTATTTCATCTAAGTATATGTCTCTGTATAAAGTATAGATAGGTATTTGTTTTATCTGTATACTAATTATTGAAAACTGTCAGTCAAATAATCCAGAAAAGCAGAATCAAAAATAAGAAGGGCCAATCAGTAGTGGTGGTAGCAGGTAGAAAGGAAAGAAAGGAGGTCTGCACTATCTTGCAGAATGACGATTTAGCCAGATGCCCTAAACAAGGAGGAGCTAACTGCTCAGACTTGATTCCTTATTTCCTTGGAGATGAGATCTCTAAATGAAACT